CCACCGATGGAGGAAACAGAAGTGTGAGCGCTAACTAAACTAGCATCAGCAGCCAAGTACTGCCTGTGTGTTCTGGACACTTCCACCCCGTCAGAGCGCTGCCCCGGGGTGGAAGTAGCTGGAACATGCACAAGCGCACCGTTCAGTTAGACGTGAAATCCAGCGATGCCGGCGCCCCCATAGCTCACCTGGTTGAGCGGGCAACTCATGAACAGGGGCTATCGTTCCCTGGCACGGTGTTTGTGAGTTCGACTCCGGCTCACGACAGTTTGCTGCAAGGTCTCTCCCCTTTCCTGTCTTACTCTCTCACTGTCCTGACTAACAAAAGGCAAAAACGCCAGAAAAAAAAACATCCAGCGATGCGTAGTGTTCTAACAATACACTAGTTATTCTAACAACTATAAACAATAAATATTAACAACTAATGATCCTTCCAGCATCAAGCCCTCCTTGTATCTCGACCTCCGTCTTGACAATCCGACAGCCTAAAAGAAGGTTTTACATTTAGTGTCGGATTGTCGAGTCACGACTGTATATATATATTCCTTCAGCCCTTATTGTTAAGTATATGGAAGCATAGCGATGTGTAAAAATGTGAGCTAACTGGTGTCCAAAAGACAGAAGCCATAAGGGCTGAGGGAGAGCTTAACAAATGTATGAGCCCACCACCCAATGTCAGGTTTATGCCCTAAATTAGCAGCATTGGTAATTAAGAAAATTATTTCTTATGTTTCTGTACTGGTTAATACACCAGCATGTAGCAGCTCTTTAACCAAAATGATGTTTTTAATGCCAAAACACAATTATTATTGTTATCCATGACTTTTCAGATTTACTGTTTTAGCAAAGCACATTATTAGTTCTTGATTAGGATGTCAAATTATAGTTAATTATTTGCATCCTTGAACAGAAAAATGAGTTTTAGTGGCTGAATGTTGATTCATTTCTGACTTCTCAGAGAAGCCCAGTGGCTCAGATGTGGGTATAAAAAGGTGAATTCAGTTTGACATTCCTCATTCCTGTTCAGAAACCAAAACGTGGAGAGCTGAGTGTGAATTAAAGCGCTTCATGATGCTGGAGGGTCTATAAATGTATAGATATATACAGTGCTGAACAAATTAGACAGGTGGTTTGTATATAAACATGACAAAAGTGGAAAAATTGCTTTGACTTCCAGCCAATGAGGGGTATTTTTTTTTAAGCACTTTTGGGATTCCGTACCAGAGCAACACGTCGATGCAGATCAGGCAGTGAATCGCTATCTGATGTCAGGAAGCTGACGCAGAGAAATTAGAGTCTTGTAAATGAAGAACGGCAGTGACTCATTTGTCCTGCAGGAAAGTAAGAATGAAGTCAAAACAGAGAACTAAGAGTGATTCTGCAGTTATTTCATTCATCAGCTAATCCGATCCAGATAAGAGACGCCACCTCGCTCAAGTTTTTTCTGACAATCTCCTCTTTCCAATAATGGAACCCATCTGCTGTGCTGTTAGCGCGATGTGTGAGCCATGCAGATGTCTGAAAACAGCGCTTTAAAAAGTAAGACGTACCAAACCGGCGTTTGATTTTTAAACACCGCACTCTGTTCCCCGAGTGCTCCGCTATTGATGAACGAGATGAGCATAAATTGCTTCAGCTCAAAAGGCATAAACATTTTAAGCGAGCATCTTTTCTCGTCAATTTTTCACCAGGCAGGTAGATCTGGAAAAAAAAAAACGCCGACTGCTGCTTAGGGGTTGGAATTAGAGGCAGTAAAGCGTCTGGCCGGATGGGACGCTGCAGCCACCGGGGCGCTGTGACGGAGGAAGACTGTGATCAATCACATCTGAAATCCATCGTATCTTTAAACGACGCTATTCGGTTCCAGACGTGGCTGAATGTCAGTAACCTATGCGGCCTCAGAGACCGACAGACATTCCTCAGCGTGTCACAGTGCTAAAGGCTAAAAAATAATGGATGCAAGCCGCTATTTTTCACACATCAGCTGCTGTGTTTTGTATGGACGGCGTCTACTTTTGCAAATAAACACACACCTGCACACGCCGCTCCGATATGACGGCTGGAGTTTATCTCGGCTTTGTATAAATGGTTTCCGCTGCGAACATACACCATTTTCACGCTGATACGATGGCTATAGTTTATCATATACGAACGCTATCAGCTGAGAAAACACACACACACACACACACACATCACCGACAACGACTTCCACACACATTTCCACAATGACGCTACGGTTTATCATACCTATATATGTGTATGAATACTGTGTCAGAAGACTTTTGCTTTCCCTAAAGGCTGCGTAGGATGAATAATATCGCGCCCGCTGCCAGAGCACATACTT